GTTCCTTCCCAGTCACTACCCACTTCAGAACAAGACTGGGATGGAGGAAGCAGGTAAAAGCCCTGGATTATTTTCAAAAGCGGAACAGATTACACTACATACCGATGAAATGTGCAAGTAGCTGCAAGAAACTAGGCAGCCACTGGCTATACACAGGTAAAATGGCGACACCCAGTGGGAGCAATACTACATAAAATATCTGCATTAAAAGAGGTATGAAGAATGTTATCCCTTCCCCTCCAGGTTTTTTTTTTTTTTTTTTTTTTATAATAGAACTGCTATCTAGTTTGGGGATCTGTAGATTAGCTTTGGGAAAGAAAGAAAAAGAGATGCATCTCAGTTACAGAAAAATAAGGTTGTATCCAACTGTATTTCTCCAGAATGGCCTCAAAGAATTTTTACGTTGCTTTATCCTGCTATGGCTTAGCCCCAAGTATTTTTTTATTCTGTTACAATCTCTCCAACTCGAATGGCAACTAGGTATTAACTTCCCATACAGCCTTTAAAGAATCTCCTCCATTAAAATAAGAAATTATAGCCGTTTAGTTCCACGGAGTTGAGGCCAAGAAGTGAGACTATTTTAGGTTTCAACACACTGACACTTTAAAAATGAAATTTTCATGTGCCTTACTATCACCGATGTTTTCAGCCAATCAAGTGCTCGACCCTTGAAAGCTATGAGCAAATTTTACTTCTGATATTTTCACTTATTACAATATTGTGAAAACCTTTATTACTTCATAAATGTACCAGTCTTTTTGAACTATCATCAGAAGTGTACGTTGTCCAACAGATGGCTTAGACTGTAACTAACAAGCTCACAGGAGCAAGAACTGGAAATGCTGGGAGGCCAACAGAGCAAGTCACAGGCTGTGTAACCTAACCGTTTCTAAATCGAACCGTGTTGCATTGTTTTGGGCCCCTGAGAAACCACAGAGAACAGCACAGGTAAGTGCAAACAAGACACCTCCCTTTCTCTCCTCCCCCCTCCCCAAAACTAGAGATGGGGTTTTTTGGATGGAGTAAGGCTCTGCTCACCTGTATGCATTACCAGAATGTAGGTTGATCGTGCTTTTCAGCTTTAGCTGGCAATACTGTATCTGTCAAGCTTCAAGCAAGCACCAACTACATCAAACTAATGGTGACGTGAAAATGGATCAACGTTTTAGAATATAAGCTTGTACTTTTTATATATTTTTTTTCCCCTTCTCAAAACGTAAGGCGTCAATAGACTGTACTCCATCATCTCAAAATACAGTTTGGGGCATACCCTTAGTAACTCCTCTGTCCTTTTATGGAACATGTATCCTGTACAGTACCTACAGTTTATTTAGAGCAGAGTAAAGGGGAAAAAAGGCATAGATGAATGTTCAAGCATAAATTCACAAAAATAAATTCAAGCATAAGTTTCATCTTGTATTTATTTAGTTTTGACAGTAGGCACAATATACTTTTACTTTCTAAGCTGAAAGAGAGACATAAATAAACCCAGTTCTGAAGAATCTACATCAAAAACAAAGTACACGGAAAGACACATAGGATGCAGTTGGGGACAAAAAAAAAAAAAAAAAGGTGTATACATTCATTTTTTTTTTCTAATGGGTAAACCTATTTCCAGGTTCTAAAGCTCAACGTAATCAACCTGTTTTCCACAGATACTGTAGCACAGTTAAAAACCCTCCTGGATGACAGGCCTTTCAGCTGAGCTCACGGCAGGTAAGCAAAGTACCATCCCTGAAGAAACCTCACTTGGGCCAGAGCACATAGAGAAATCACGTGATTTGAGCCAGAAGAGCCCAATGGCTTTAAGTGACAGGCCCTGGATGCAGCATCATCACCCTGGGACAGCAGAGGTAAGCATCTGACCCTTCAGGAGCACAAGAGAGTCTCCTCTCCCACCTCATCCTCCTAGAGAGGGAACTAGTTCCCACCAGACGCAAACAACAAGCCAGCAACCCTCCCGCAGGCCAAGCCTTGTCTGAAGGCTTCCTACCAGACCACCTGGCAGAACCCAAAAGCCACAGAACACCGGCCCGTGACTTGTGACTCTTCCAGCCCGCAGAAACAAATTACTTTACTTTATCTTTCAGTTTCCCGATTGCATTAGAATGGCTGTAAGGATGAACTAAATTTATATTCAAAACAGATACAACATGTACTGTAGTATTATAAAAATAATATGCATTACTAGTGGAATTCTCACGATGTATACGAATAAAAAAATTGGGAGTAATTTTCTTAAATATGGCACATTTTTACACAGCCAATGTATGTAAACATCTGACATCCATAACTGGAGTTTCTCTGGTTACAGATGAATGCCTCAACTCATAAATTTAGAGCAAGTATCATTCTGCACCCTCCTCTATCCCTCATGACCATGTCTTCAAAACTGCAGATGTTCTGTTACTGCTAAGTGTCTCCCAAAGCACGTTTTAATTCTAAACACATAGGATACTAAAGAGCCAAAGCATAGCATTTGCTTATCACCAAAAAAAAAGTTCTATTCTTTTTTTAAAAAAGCTAGTGGTCTTTTCAAACTGTGATTTTTTACAAGAATAAACAGATGACAGCCAAAACTTTTATTGATCTACAGTTGGAAAAAAAAAAAATCATTAAAACCAATGACATAAAAAAAGACTGCAAGATATTGCTTAATTATTGGATAGAAAAACATCCTTAAGGTCCCTTCATGTAATACATGAAGAACAATAAATTGCAGGGTTTAAGCAAATTTAGTTCTTTCTTGTAAATAACAACTTAGAAAAAAATGGTTGATATTAATGACTAATGAAAAAAACCCCTCTGCATTTGGATGGTATGCCCGTTTGTTTTTTATCATTTTAGCTAAGCAATAAGCTCAAACCACCGAGCATTCACAATGACAAGAACAAAATCCCACACAGGTTAATCCTAAAACTGCATCAGTAGCACTACTGCCAAAACAGCCTATGTTTATTACTCAAGACACTATATTTGCTAAATGTGCTCCCAGGTATGGACAAATACCTTGAGATATCATTACTTCCAAACTAGACAGTAACCATCACCTTACAAGTGCAGATTCTCTACAGACTGGAACACTATTATTATTTCTATATTCTGTGTGGTGAGGACCTCTTTATATACCAGTATCACTGGCATATTATGTACAACTTGGCAGCTTCAAAAGAGACCCAATTCTGCTTCCTTGGGCAGATGCAAAGATTTTTATTCCATAAATTCACTTTTCCTGCATTTCTGCAAAAGAAAAACATGGTTAAAACAGGCAGAATATACTATTTATTTTAGCTGCTAAATAAAACAATTACTATTACATGGTGTAAATAGCACTTCATGTTGTAAACTTCTGTGAATGTACTATTAACACGTAGTCTTTTATTAGTATAAAGAAAAAACAAATGCAACAGCTATGACAACATGCATGTTTTAGTCTATGTGACAGAATGGCAGTTTAAAAGCGTGATACGTATTCTTAAAACGGGTGAAGAGCAACTGCTCTACAATGTGTTATTTCGGTATATGGATTATAAAACTATTTTATAAGTTAAAAAAAAAACCCTCACAAACTACCGAGTCATCTGTCTTCCTTTCACCAAGTTGGATCCATTCCTCAGTGACACGAGGTATACTTAGAGCTTTATTTGACTCAGCATACAATTGTATGAGTGTTCTTTTTCATTTATTTAAATTAAATATACTAGAACAGCACATGGAAACTGACTGAAATTATTCAACATTTGACAACACAGAACAGGAGAAAATCATGGCGGAAGCACTACTGAAACAGCAAGAAGGCTGGAAAAGCTCTGATAGAACTCTTCCCTGGGGTTTTTTTCAGCAATTCCAATGGTAAAATTTACCAGCCTGAAAATGCCATCGTGACATTTCAGCTTACTGGCATAAAGTAACAAATCACACCTCAACACCTAAGTAGGAAATTCCGAGTTCTTTACTTCTGGGGAAAGAAGGAAAACAAAACATCAGGACAGTCGATGCCTAAAGTAAGAAAAAAATAACGAGTCTGTTTCAAGGAACTTTTACCAACCGAGACGAGCAGCTTCCTTCTGCATCCGCTCTCCTCCACCACACGGTTAAAAAATGTTTTTGTTAGGGGTGCTCGTGTCGCGTCACGACAGCCTAGGAGGTTCTACCTGCCTTCCCTGCCCTCCGCCTCGGCCGACACCCGCCAGCATCAAGTTCAGGGTACGGCCCGTCTGATCGGGTCGCCGCTCC